AGCTGGTTTAACATCTGAATTAACAGCTAGTTAACAACTGAATAACAACTGGTTAACATCTGGTTAACAACCATATTAACAGCTGTTTAACAACTGAATTCACAGCTTAACAACTGAATAACAGCTGTTTAACAACGGATAAGCAACTAGTTAACAATTAAATTAACAGCAGGTTAACATCTGAATAACAACTAGCAAACAACCGAATAAGAACTGGTTAACAACTGAATTAACAGCTGGTTAACAATTGAATTACAGCTGGTTGAATAACAACTGGTTAACATTAACAACTGAATCAACAGCCGTAAACAACTGAATAACAGCTGGTAACAACTGAATAACAGCTGGTTAACAACTGGCAATAACTGGTTAACAACTAACAGCTGGTTAACAACTGGTAATAACTGGTTAACCAATGTCAAAAACTAATGCAGACATGTTCTTGTTTTTAGTTTTCTACACTGCCCTACAATCTAGCTGGTTTTTGTTGTTACATTTTCTTTTAAACAACATTTTATTTTCATTTGTTAAAAATCTAATCCAAATTTGTACACGTCTTTCATGATTGTCCATTATTGTCTTTGTTGTCCACTGTTGTCATCACTCTTTGTTAAAATCAGGTCTCTCTTGTAAAAGAGTCCCCGAGGCTCAATGGGATTAACCTGTATAAATAAATGTTGAACGGAAAAAAAAAATTAACATCTGATTAGCAGCTGTATAACAACTGGCTAACATCTGGTTAATGAATTGAAGGAACAACTGATTAAGTAATATGTTAACAACTAGATAACAGCTGGTGAAAATATGGTTAACGACTAGATAACATGTGGTTAACAACTGGATAACATTTGATTAATGACTAGATAACAACCAGTGAACATCTGGTTAACAATTAACTAGTTAATGTCGTAGATAATCTAGTTAACACCCTGTTTAAACTACATAAGGTTTTGGATCAAATATTAAACTTGGTAAACTAGTCAATCAGAGTCAGTCAGAGATTCTTTATTGTCATTCGCACCACATGTGGTACATGTGGTGGAGCGAAATTATGTACACAGGGTCCCAGTTACATCCAACAATAAAATTTCGTCTGATCCCTTTCAGGGGTTGCAACAGCGAGTCATCCTCCTCCATCTCACTCATATCATTTATATAACAGTGACTGTCAGGTTATTTTGGTTTCAGATTTATTCATTTGCCTGCTCTTTTTTCTTATACCAGTAAAAACTTTATTTGATCCACTTTGAGTTAAATTAGTGCAGCAGCCTTAATGAAAGTCCAACTGGGGTGTTAAGGCAGAACTGGGCCATCTTATTTTGACAGTATTCCTGGATAATGGGACAATTAACAGATTCCCCCACCAGCTGTCTTTCTTTGCCTGAAGGAATGTGGCTGTCAGACAGAAAATTACTCTCAGGGTATGAAAGACTTTGGCATGTGTAGGTCAAATGTCCTGCCGTTGGGTCTACTTGAGTCAAGAAGTTTGCTATGAATACTGCTGAGGCATTCAGCACCTCTCAGGGAGCCATCATATGATCTTCTGTCTCTTACTGTTACTCCGTGCTGCTCACCGAAGTATCCAGATCATCCGCCTTTATGTTGGCTGTCCATGAACTATTCACATTTCCATTCATGTATTGTTTGTGTCATAACTGATGTAGATGTGTACTCTGCCTGCAAACATTTCTGGTTAAAGGTTACTGTTGTGGCGGACGGTGACGCAGTTAGTAGAGCTGCCGCCTCTCAGCGACAAGGTTGCCGGTTCAAATCCCGGCCCGTAATCTTTCTGGGTGGAGTTTTCATGTTCCCTCTGTGCATGCTTGGGTTTTCTCCGGGTACTCCAGTTTCCTCCCACAGACCAAAAACATGCATGTTAGGCTGATTAGTAACTCTAAGTTGTCTCTAGGTGTGAGTGAGAGAGTGAATGGTTGTTTGTCTCGTTTGTCTCTTATGTGTCCCTGTGATGGACTGGAGACTTGTCCAGGGTGTCCCCTGCCTCTCGCACAGTGATTGCTGGATATGGGCACCAGTGACGCCCGCGACCCAAAAAGGACGAAGCGGGTAAAGATAATGGATGGATGGATGGTTGGATGGTTGGATGGATGGATGGATGGATTGATGGATGGATGGAAGGTTAATGACAAGAACGACATTAAGATATTGGATTTTAAATGTTAAATTTTCATCTGCCTTCGTTTTGTAGAGTATTTGTTCATTACAAATCTTAAACAGAGGATTTGAATTAAAAAAAAAACCAGCATCAGGTCAAAATGTTATGTTCATGTAAAACAAACATGTTTAAACATGTTCTATTTATTCACATTTTTCATCTTTATAAAATCAATTCTTGTCAGGGCTGTAGAACTTCACACTGACAGCTGCTTGCTCCCCGTGCCATAAAAAGTACAATTCTCTGACTTCTTTATTGGAAAAAAAAGGACACAATTCATAATACACTTCCATATGTACCCTGTAAGTACCCAGTACACATTAGGTATGTACCTAGTAAGTATCAGACATGTATGGTACCCTATATTAGGTACATACCAAGTAAGTACCAGGGATGCACCAGGCAATGTTCATAATATATATACTATGCTAAAAAACGAATATCACAGTTATAATTTCAGATTATTGTGAGTACCACTCTACAGAGGTGTTGTTTTGTATAAATATAAGAGAATTAAACTTCTAAGAGAAAAATATATCATTTGTTACTCTTAACTTTACATAAAAGTGGTTTGGAGGGTAAAAAAAGAACTAAACTTGGAAACGATCGTGTGACTTGTGTTAGTAATCCCAATAAACAAATGCTGGTTACTGACTTTAAATCCTATGAACTAAAGAAAGAAGATATAATGAAGGAGTTCAAACAGCCATTGTACTCGATGAATGAGAAAAAGAGGGGAAAATGAGGAAGAAGAGACAATGAAAGGATCCATGGTGATGTAACGCAGAGAGAAATGTGGACTGTGGGGGTCTTGGTTGTTGGGTGCAATGTTTGACATGAAAACATGACATTCCTTAGACCCCTGACATTAACCCCACATCAGTGACAAAAATGGGCACATTCTTCAGTCATCATGGTTTCTTTCCTCCTTTACGTAATGCCACTGGTTCTCTGCCCCAGCTTCAGTCCAGAGCTCTTCAGCTCTTTCTTAGTGCATGACTTTGGACAAATCTGAGGTCCACCTGGAGCTGGGCTCATTTTACTGCAGTATTAGTGCTCTCTTTGTGTTGGAAACTTTCCAAAGGAGGCCCATGACCCATTTTTCAGCTTAACACTAGTGGAGGACATGATGGTAATCTCTATTTTATGATTCAACACAGAGTAACAGAAAATATTACTATAATTGATTTAAATGAAAGCAATTTGTTGTCAGACAGAACTGTGTTATTACATTTTCCCCTGGGTTTTATGGTTCTGATAGCCTGAATTGTGTGTGAAACCCTCCAGTCTAGTGACGGGGAGGTTCAAATTAACATTTGTTTGGGTGACGCTTCATGAAACTGGGATGAATCCTTAGGTGATATCACTGTGAATCATAAAACCTGTTGTGATGATGAGCTTGTATTACTCATTTTGATCTGTTTCTCCCACAGAGCAGCTACCCGATCTGGGAGGATTTTATCACCAAGGCAGGAAAACTGCAGTCACAGCTTCGGTGAGTACGTGGTTGTATGAGAATACACCGTTCTTTTTATTTCATGAGGATTTTCTTAATAAATAAAACTTATTTGCTACATTGTTACCATCAACCTTTTTCTTCTTAGTAATAGCAAATACATTTTGTGTATTTGTATGCACATGGTTTGTATCAATTTAGACTTTCTGCTCTTCAAAGAAAAACTGATATTTGGTAAAATGTGTTTTAATAGCTTAAGGTTTTATCTAAAAGCACAAATAAATCTTTGAAAATATATTGAAATAAGTCCAGATTTATATGAACTATACAACAAATCTTTGAGGTCTACTGAAGCATCTGTTTTAAAACTTTTCAGCTGATACAATCAGTAGCTGTGCAGTCACTGGCAATGAGATAATAACTTATCCCAAATTTATTAAATACATACATTTTTTTAAATCAATATGTGCAATTTTAAGCCAGTAGTTGTTTTATCGTCTTGATCCCAGGTTATAGTAATTATTTCACAGTAGTTTAGGAATTTGCACAAACATTTCAATTTTATTTGACTTAGGTCTCTAAACTTTTAAACTACATTAATAAAATAACCAATGTAGAAAATAGAAATAAATTTTTTTTACTGTATTGTTTATTTAAAACATAAATACTGAAACAACTGTTGGCCAGATTGAGACCATTGTAAAAAAGTTTTGTTACCCAATGTAGGCAGTCTTTTAGAAAAAAATTTTTTTAAAGCTTCTTTAAACACCAAAATCTATAGTAGATTTGACTCTTTTGAACAGCCGGTACACAAGTTTAATATTAACAAGTCAGGTTTTTTTTTAGATATTTACAGCTGAGACATTTTGTGAGATCTAACTCTGATTGTTTTCCTTTGTACCCCTCTAAACATCTTGTGGCTAAGATTTTGGAATGCAGGTCTGATACCAAGGGGGCCCTTAGCAAATTGTATGCACTGCTCAGCTCATACCATGAGTCCAGTTTGGACTCCCTTAAGCTGAAATGGGAAGCAGACTTGGAGGAACTCAAAATATCAGACTCAATCTGGAAAAGGATCATTAAGAACATTTACTCATCTTAAATTTGCTTGAGACATGCTGTAATTCAGTTCAAGGTAGTGTGCACAGGCTGCACGTAAATGGTAAATGGACTGTACTTATATAGCGCTTTTCTATCTTATTTCAAGATACTCAAAGCGCTTTACACTACAATCTGTGTCCTCATTTACCCATTCATACAGCACTCTACTAGATCTCTACAAAGCTCATTGAACAAATCATTCTAAAGAGACTAATCAGAGCTTTATCACATTCATACACCGATGGGACACACATCAGAGGCAATGAGGGGTTCAGTGTTTTGTCCAGGGGCACTTCGGCATGTGACTGCTGGTGGATTCGAACCCCCAGCATTGGAGGACGACTGCTCTAACCACTCAGCCACAGCCGTCCTGGTCCAAAGACAAATTGTCCAAGATCAAAACCGACCTGGACCCAGCATGCAATTGTTGCAAACAAACTCCAGCTACATTCCTGCGTATATTCTGGACCTGTCCCACACTGCAGACTTTTTGGCAATATGTATGTAACACCTACTTTGGAATATGTGACAAAACTATACGCCCATCACCACTCATTTCACTGTTTGGGGTGGTCCCTGTGGATATGTCCTTCAGCAGATTCATTTATTCATTCAACCTTTATTTAGACATCCAACTATTTTCAGTCAGGTCATCTGGACAGTTTCTTTTTTTTTTTGCTGAAACGTTTCACCTTCCATCCAGAAGGCTTCATCATTATTTAGACAGATTAATCCCATTGAGCCTCGGGGACTCATTTACAAGAGATTTGAGAGGGATATTCATTCATTCATTCATTCATACAGGTTAGTCTCATTGAGCCTCGAGGACTCATTTACAAGAGAGACCTGTTTTAAACAAAGAACACAGATATGATTGCCTTTGGCTCTCTCTTGGCCAGGAGGCTGATTTTATGCAACTGGAAGGAGCCCTCCCCCAACATTGGATAAGAGAGGTGATGTACTATATCCATTTGGAAAAAGTTAGGCATACCCTGAAGAGTTCTGTAAAAAGATTCTGGGACACATGGCAGCCCTTTGTGTTATATGTGGAGAACTTGTCAGTACCTGTTTGCTTTATTTTTATCTACCGATATGTATGAGTGGCTGCACGGTGTCCGTGTTCTGCGGACAATAGATGCCAAGCCAGCCACCTCCCAGCTGGTTTTAAGTGGCCACGTGGCAAAAGACAAACAACTTATGACAGCTTGAAAAAAAGCTCATTATCTGGCAATTACTGCAAATACAGACATCCCGTGGGTTAAATTATTCTTCGATTAACAGTGCATGGCATTTTCCTGGCCTTCAAATGTCCACATGTCCTCATGAAGACCATTACTGACAGTTGTATAAAGGTTCAGTGACATAAGAGACCCATTTTGTCAGCATTAAGGCTGATTATAGTTGATGTTATTAGAGTGTCTCCATTATTTAGGGTTAAATATGTGACCCTGCCATGCTAAGACTCCAGGGAGTATTTGTTAGCTTGTTGCTAATGACTGGCTGTTTGACAGTAAGATGTTTTGATAGCAGGTAAGTATTAAAAAGAACTCATCTTTTGCTTAACAACAACAAAGAAATTGACAGAGTAAGATTTTTATTACGCCTAGGAGACTGTGTGATGTAATCAAGTCAACTTTATTTATAAAGCACATTTAAAACAGCAACTGTTACCAAAGTGCTAAACTATCACCATCAATGGGAGTATGGTCATTTAATGGAAAAAAATTAAAAATAAAAGTAATGATACTACCGAAAATTAATTAAAAGCATCAAAAGAAAAACACAGAACAATAAAATGCTAAATCAAATCACGCTGTCAAAGAAAACATGAGTTTTTAACAGAGATTTAAAAACAGGAAGTGATTGGGGGGCAGGTTGATCCAAAGTTTAGGGCCCACGACTAAAAACGCCCAATCACCTCTGAGCTTCAACCAGGTTTTTGGAAGAGTCAAAAGCAGCTACATATGGTTCCAGAAGCTCAGAGAGATAAGAGGGTGCAAGGCCATTTTTGCACTTAGGTTAGCAGGAGAATTTTAAAATCAGTTCTGGTACGTACAGGGAGCCAGTGAGGGGAGGACAAAACTGGTGTAATGTGATCCAACCTACAAGTTCCTGTTAAGAGCCGAGCTGCAGTGTTTTGGACAAGCTGGAAACGTGAAATGGAGACCTGACTGACCCCAACAGTGTGTTACAGTAGTCCAGTGGGGTAGTAATAAAGGCATGGACTAGTTTTTCAAGGTCAGATCTGGTCAACACTGACTTAAGCTTATCTGTCTGCCTTGAAGAATCTTTAATGTAATTTTACCTGTTAAGGTATAGCAGTGTAGCCTTTGTTACTTCTGAAGATTTCCTAAACATGTTTGGGTTGATCTGCGACCCAGCTCACTAACGTCAGCAGTATTTGTTTGTGACGTCATGTTATTAACTAGAGATGCACCGATCCGATACCGATATTGATACCGATATCGAGAAAAAGAAATTAAAAAACTGGATCGGGTATCGGTGACAATGTGACCGATCCATGGCTGGGCAGATCTATTCACTCTAATTCTATGCTTTGTGCTCTGAGTGACGTCACGTGCTAGCATACTGACTGAACAAATTAAAGTTGTGTTGTTTTTACATGTTTGACCAAGCTTGTGAAGCTCTTGGTGTGTTAAAGTGTGCTGTTATGGTGCACAGTTTTCAATAAATTTGTAATTCAGTACATTCATGTCTGCGTTTAACAAAACAAATGTTTGAATTTAATTCAGCACTGGGTTTGTAAGCTCTAACATCCAGGTAGACAACAAAAATGGCTCAATCATGTCATCTGGACTGGTTTCAGAAACGGGTCCAGATGACAAGATTGAGCCATTTTTGTTAATTCATTCACAGTTTTTCTGTATCAAATCGATATCGGATCAGTATCGACCGATACTAAACCACATATATCGATATCGGATCGGAAGTGAAAAAAGTGGATCATGCATCCCTATTATTATCCAGACACCTGTCTACCTGTTAAACCTTAGTGAGCATGTTGGCGTGCACACAGCAGCAAATCCTACAGAGTGTTCACAGCAAGTGATTGGAGTCACAGAAAGTTTTTATTTAGAAGCATATGTTTGCTACATTAGGCTGACGGGACTAATCAGGCAGTAACGATCACTTTTGCCTCTGTGTTTAATGTTATAGTTATCACGCTTGGTACGTTTAGACTAACTTGTTTCAGATAAAGTTTGGCCTCCACCCAGTGTTGTAACATACGATTGTTTGTCTTGCTCATAGAGAACTTCTGATTGGCTACTACCGCCTTGTTCACAGTGATGTGCATGTTAGTACCTTTTCTATCTGCTTTGGAGCCTGCTGCCAGTCATTACAGATGCCAAAATGACCTCTTAACTGTAGTACAACCCTCAAAGCATGCAGACCTCTGTAATTTGTTTGGGGGCTGGACTATTTAAAGGAACACACACACACATACTGTAGATACACAGTAAAACACAAACACACACATGCCTTCTCCTCTTGGTCTGGTTAAGTTACCAGTAAGTACTGGAAACAGCATGTGAGCCTGTGTGTAATGCAGCCAGAGACGATCTACTCTGTAATATAGACCCTGTACAAAGCAGCCAGGATATTAACCAATTACAGTGTTGGGACAGTTCTGTGTTCTCTCTCATGTTTTTCTAGTTTTAGGAGAGAACATGCACATATGTTTGCATGTTGCGTGAACGTTTGAAGAAGAAAAGCAAGGCCTAAAACCTAAATGGTTTCTAATCATAGTTCTCCTAAATCTTAATTTTTTTTTTTCTGTTCCTAGTTGATGCAGCTGTGTCGACGCAGGACTTGTTTTTTGTTTGAAAAGTGCCTCCTAAAATTGTGGCAATCATCCTGTTGTATTTAAAGTATCTTGAGATGATTCAAAGTTTATCTTACGAATGCGTGCCATATTAAGAGCACAGTTTCATAATTTGACAGTGGACAGAATACTGATGGTGTATTCAGCCCAGAACTAAACACCTCTGGAAGCACACTCCTTACTAACACTTTGTGATTTTACTGTAGTGCTGTATGTTCCTGAAACAAATCCAGTTTCTATGATTCACATGAGCTACAGTCGCATTCCAGTTTCCGTTGATGACTAGATGAGAGCAGCAGCACTGAGAGTATCGTCATCGTAAAGAGCCCTCTGCTGTACCATGGCAGTACACAGGGAGTTCAGCTGGCCGGCCACGGCGTTGTGGAGAGCATATGCTCAAGTCATTTGTCTCCACTTTGGAGCCGGGACGTGTGCACGTTTTAAGACCATTGGTAACATTCAGGTCTTTTTTTGGAAGTCTGCAAACAGCTGAACCTTTACAGTACAATGAAAAATATTTACATTTTCTTCTGGGGCAGCTGTGGCTGAGTGGTTAGAGCAGTTGTCCTCTAATGGGAGAGTTGGGGGTTTGAATCCACCAGCAGTTACATGCTGAAGTGTCCCTGAGCAGGACACCGAACCCCTCATTGCCTCTGATGTGTGTCCCATCGGTGTATGAACGTGATAAAGCTCTGATTAATCTTTGTAAAGACATAGTAGAGTGCTGTAAATGAGGGCACAGATTGTGTTGTAAAGCACTTTGAGTGTCTTGATAAGATAGAAAGGTGCTACAGTATATAAGTACAGTCCATTTACCATTCTTAAAGCCGCAGATATTTTGGGACTTTTGGCCAGCTGTCAAAGTTGTAGCTAGTTCAACACAAAGAAACTGTCCAGAGTCACCTGACTTAGCTTTGTTGGATTTTTTTCTAACCTGGATTATTGAGCATGAACTTTGATAACTACAACTTAGTTTTCCTGCTTAGTTTTATTGAAAAACAAGTTACCCAATCTGTCAGTTCTTACAGTCTGTCAAATGTAATCTAAAAAACAAAAACACAGGTAGTGGTCAGTAGATTAGTGTTTGTTGGCTTCCAGCGGTTGTTAAAGCAGTTTTCTAACCACTTATCACTCAAAAACCTAATTTTTCTTAAGGGTTTAAACATGAGTGAACATGATTTAGCTATGAGTACTTGCAAAAATTGGATATATGAGTGCATGTAACACATTAGTGAAGGGAGATATAAGTTAGAGGTTGTTTTGGTGCTGGTGTTGGGCTTTAAATAGAAAGGCATTTGTGTGTGCGTATGTTTCTTTTTCCATTTGCAGAACACACCCATGGAACTTCTGGTTAGCCTGCAACAACACAGCGCTTGTTAACCAATACTGATTTAGGTTTGTGAGTGATGAAGAAACACATTGTTCCAAACAAATTGATCTATTTGTGTGAATGCTGTTGGACATTCACACTATTGAGATCCTGTTTTTCTTTCATTTCCTTTCTTCAAGTGTCTTCCTTACTTTTTTTTAGCATCTATCTCATGCAATTTTTAAGCTATTTCAGCCATTTAGTTATCAAAATGTTCAGCTCATTCAGGACATGGGTGCTATGCCTTTTAATTTTGATTTCTTTTTATTTATTGAAATATTCAGCTCTTTTTTTATTTATTTTACAAAATCTATCTAATTGAAATGAACTGGGATTCCTTCAACGTCTGACTGCCTTTTGATCTCTAACTATTCAGCATATTGTTGAACAATTCACAAGACATTCAGCTAACACTAAGTGATTCAGCTTTTTGATATCTTGAAGCGTTCTTTTAAGATCAGAGTTTAAGTTTGTTAAAGTTTTGGTGTTTCTCTGCCGTCCTGCGTTTCCGTACTGAGAGGGTTCAGTTCTGAGCAGCTGGGAGAGATTTCTAAATGTCCATTTGACGTTTGTGACTGTGTGTGTTTCTGTGTGTGTGTTTTAAACTTAAATTTAACTCTTTAAAGTTTATTCAGCCTTTTACAGCTTCTGTTTAGCTTTTTTAGGCTTGTTCAGCTGTTCTTAAACAGTGGAAATCATCAGTCCTGCTTCTTGTTGTTCAAAAATGGGTTTGATTTACAGCTGTTTTGTTGCTCTGCTGTTTTTCAACTTCATTCTGCAAATTTCAGCTTTTTATGCTCCCTTAAGCTTATTTTTTCTCTCCAAATTTCAGCCTTTTTCTTGCCTTTCAGCTATATTGTTCAGCTGGGTTTTTTTTGTTTTAACTTTTCTCTGCTAATTAATGCTTTGTGTGATCATTTTGACTCTGTTTTATTCAGCAAACATGCTTTTTAAGCATCTGTACGCTCATTTCAGCATTTTATTTTGTTTTTTTCAGCCACTTCTGTGCTCATTTTAGCTGTTTTAAGCTTTGAGCTTCCTTCTGCTAATTTGAGATTTTTGATTTATTTGCTCATGTACTTTTCAACTTATGTCCATTTTTTGTGATCCAAATGGGTTCTCTCAGTTTCAACTCATACATTTTTTTAGATTATTTAGGCTAAGATTTGGTGTGGTAGTAGCTGAGAGTGATCCTCGACACATCCTGAAGGCTAAATAAAAATTCAATAAGACCGTGACGGCCAGCACACTTTTTTTGTTGTGTAGCATTCATGACTGAGGATTGACCTTCGTGTTGAGGAGATCAGATATCACATAAAGTGCACGTGCATCCTTCAAGCTACTTTTTAATCTTCATACCAGTGATCTTAATCCTGTGAGGGCTCTTGTTTTGGAAGTTGGACAGTGTTAATCAGTAACCACTTGTTTTGCCTACTGGTCATACCTGCCCCGTCAGGCAGTCAGGATACTAACACAATGGCGTCTCCAACCTATTCATATAACTGCTTTTTATAGAAGACTGCACTTAGTCCTTTCTACAACCACTCTTTATATTAATAATTTTAAAAGTGTATTCAGTTTAATATGAGAATGAAAGAGCAGATGAAGTTGACACTCTGTCATTAGGCCTTTTTTCACTTCATGTCTCAACAGGGTTCAGTCACCTCTCAGCCCTCCATTGAGCTGGAAGTGAGACAAACTCAGTGTAATTACATGGACATTCCTCCCACAGCAGGCCACATTCAAGCTGTAATACAAACATGGCCGTAGGTAGAGTACGTGTTCCTCTACTGGGAATATTAGTGCTCATGTTAGTGTGTTTGAAAGAAGAGTGACTCCATACAAACATCACATGCTTTCACTTCTAAAATAAGTTGTTTTTCTAAAATGAATCCACATATTTCATCCAGAGACGATGGCTCAATAGGTTCATGTTATCAGTGTGTCTTTGTTAGACTTCATTATAAGCCTGGACTTTTGTTTTCTTTTTTTTTTTAAACATTTTTATTCAATGTAGTTGGAGAATGTAACCTTTCTGTTTATGTTCCATAAATCTTTTGATTTTCTCTTTTGTCACAGGGCAACAGCAGGAGCTGTGTCTGCCTTCCTGGATGCTTTTCAGAAAGTGGCTGACCTGGCTACCAGCTCCAGAGGTAGGACCTGCAGTAATGATGCTGTCTGAGTTAAATAGTCAAGTCTGTGTTGGTCTTTGCAACTCTGTGATAGAAGTCCAGCATTTCACCTCATTCTGTTAAGCTCTGTTGGTGGCTGGCTGTTATTGATGGGTAATAAACATCAGTGTGCTGTTTAAAGCCCAGTTAGCTTTGTTTTTTTTACCTTTACCCTCTTTTCTCCACTTTCTTTGGCCCTAGCTCTGCTATATCTGGGACCTCCAGCAGTCTGATGTAATTCTGTGTTTGTTAGACTAATAAAGGGGGAGTGAGAGATCTCACCTGTCCATAGCTTGGACTCTTCCAGCCATGTGCTGTCCTATTAATAGGAACTGAAATGGACACACTCATTCATCACCTCAGTCACAGGAGTGATGATGAGAGGGGAGAGGATGGAGCTGAAGGGAGGTGGGGGAGTTCAGGGAGTCATCATTGTCTCCTTCGCTCTTTGAGCACATCAGTTTGATGTTAGTTTTAGCTTCAGTCAGCTGAAGAGCTCTGCATCACTTCTCTATTATTACTTTCTCTCCATGTTCTCTGTACAGCTTGTGTTTTTAGATGGCGGTGTTGTAAAACACTCGTTTTTTAAAGATGTATTTCCTTCCATGTATTTATCTTTTATGTATTATTCAACTCTTACAATTTAAAGCCCCCTTTAGTTTAAACTGGTTTGCTGGTTCTATCAAAATATTGAACTGCATGAACACTTTGTCTTGCTGTTGTTGTTATTGAGTTTTATTTCTTTTATTTGAGAGGTCAGACTTTCTGAATTGTGTGCTGCTGCTGCTAACAACCACAGTATGGTGTTGAACAGTAAAGTTGTGTTTGTGGACTTTGTTTTTGTTTTTTTTAGCTCATTCAAGAGCCTCAAAAATGTGAATGATGAAATGTTTCTGGAATAGAGAAGCAAAAGTCACTAGAATAATCCTTATTACCTCAACATTTAAATTACATTAAATACATTAGAGCAGTGAGTAAGTAATGACCATAAGCTGTAGCTGTAAAAATAAGCTGATGTACAAATATACAGTATATTTAACTTTGGAGTGAGATTTACTGATGCATGTTGTAGCTGTTTCACTGAAACCCCAAATAAGTACTGATAATATCAATTTAGTCCATTATTAATGAAGACAGTCCTCTTCTAGCTCAGTGAAGAGTCAAGTCAAATTTATTTATAAAGCACATTTAAAAACAGCAGCTGTTACCAAAGCGCTTAACAATAAAAATCAATGGCAGTAATTTAATGAAAAAACATTAATTAAACACGTCAAAAGAAAAATATAAAAGCACAGAACAATAAAATACTAAATCAAATCATACTGTGTTAAAAGCCAGTGAAAACAGGTGTTTTTCAAAGGTGTTTTATCTGCCATATATCAGAAGAATCAACCAACATCTCAGCCTGTGCTCATCTGTACACTTGCTGTTTTAGTAGCATAGAAATCTGCCGCCTGCACGTCAATAAATATGTTTAAGGAACAAAAGAAAATTAAATGTTCTTTCACAAGAGCAGCAACAAAAATAACCACAAATATAACTAGAGATTTGAAATGGTACATATTAAGACTGTTAATCGTCAAGTAAAGGTCTGTTGGCAGCCTTTATAAATGTTTGTACGTGTTTCAAATTGTTGGCAATGAATAATAATTATAAGAAAGTTCATAGAAAGTTCAAGAACATTTATAAGATCAAGTTCAGATCTGTAGATCTCATGAACTTTGAACTCTGATAGGAGGTACCGTAGAGCTGCTCAAGGGTTTAAGCTGCTTCTTCTCGTTCTTTAGCAGACATTTTATGTACCATAGATAGCTCCATCTACAGAGCTCAAATACATATTTGTAAAAGTAGTTAGTTTTGAGACATGTATTCAGAGTTTTTAATAAAACTTTTGGGAAACAGACTATTTTCAGTTAAGCTCCAAATAATATTGCACTATGACATGAACCTGTCTCCATAACGGTTTATTTTTTATTTTTATTATGAATCTCAAATATTTTTGTTCTTATGTACTTTTAGAGTAATTTATTAATTTGTGACCAGAATCGAGTGGAAAGACCCTCCACCTTGGGTATGGGGCCTTCTCTGTCTTAGGAGAAGGAACCGTAGGATGGAGTGGGAGATGGATCAATGGATTGGGGCCTCTTCCTCAGTAATGAGGGCGTTGCTTTGGTTAGATGTGGTGAAGAAAGAGTTGAGTCTAAAGTCAAAGCTGTGGATTTACTGGTCTGTCTATGTTCCAAACCTCACCTGTGGTCCTGAGGTTTGGATCAGAACCCAAAGAACCAGATCCTGGATACAAGCAGCTGAAATGAGCTTCCCTCATAGAGTGGAGGGGGGGGGTGGGGGGGTGGGGGGGCTCAGTCTTTTAGAGACACGAGGAGGAGCTCCATCATCTGGGGGAAGCTCAGCTTAGAGCAGCTGCTCCTCTGCATCAAAATACGCTGGCCCTGAAGTTCAAACCACAACTACAATTTAAAAAACACAACTACAAATCACACTCAATTAAAAGGAGTCAGCTGAGGAGGTTCATCTGATCTGGACACCTCCCTTTGGAGGTTTTTCAAGCAGTAGGAGGCTCCGGGGCAGACCCAGAACTCTCTGGAGGGATTGTGTATCTTAAGTTGCTTGTCTCCACCTTTTTCTGTCTTTTGTTTTTATTAATTTCAGCAGTTTGGGCTGAGTGTGATGTGCTTTGCTTTGGCTGATCTATTTGTTTTCAAAGTGGATTATACTTTTTTTTTATTTTTATTAAAGATAGTTTAAGTTCTGGTTGGGTGGCTTTGTCAGCAATGGGTTTAAACTTTTTTTTTTTTTTAAGCATACCAGTATCTTGTCCTTACTGTGCTTTGAAACTAAACATTTAATGCCCCCACACAAATAAAATCATTGTATTGTATATGTTGACTAAAAAGCAAAACATAAAAATAGTATTAATCATCTTAAATTATTATTTTTCTTTGAATCTGTACAAATACTGTCCTTGCCGCCATACACGTCGCATTGCCGTATAAGTCGCATCAGTCCATATATGTCTAAGAAAGTGGAAAAAAGTCACTTAACCATATAAGTCGCATCTATTATGCGTCACCGCTGACAACCCGGAAATGTGGGCCGGTGTTGTGTCAAAAATCGATTGGCTGCCAAATGGCGGCCGTGGGAGCGTGCACGGGACTTTAACAAGAATTTAACAAGATTAACACTTAAAAACTATTATTTGTTTGCTCTACGTTAGAGCAGAGGTGTGTCTCAGTTGAACTTTTCCTTAATAAATGCACATTGACGGTCAAATCAGCTGCATTTCTCCTGGGTGGCACAGAAACATGCAGCTGATTTGACATTTGCTCCACGAGTTCCAGAGCGAGACGAAGGTGGCTCACTATGGCAAGCCAGGTGTCTCATTAATAGCCACTTTTACCTATTAATGAGACACTTGGCTTGCCATTTTACTCGAGGGCCCTTTAGCGGTTGAAAATGGTAGTGTTCAATATTTTCCATGTCAGAATGAAGGAAATCGTCATACCTCAGCCAAAAATTGGATTATAAATATAGAAGAAAAACATAAACAATTAGTTTCGGTGTCATTTCTGTCCTCTCAAACCAGCCGGTCAAAGAAGATGGCCACTTGTCCTGAGCCTGGTTCTGCTGGAGGTTTCTTCCTTTTAAAAGGGAGTTTTTCCTTTCCACTGTTGCCACTTTGCTTGTTCGGGATGGGAGACTGCAACGAAGCCAAGATTCAACTTGTCTGCTGGATTCCTTAGATAGAGAACTTTACTAATTGGCTTTTATGTATGAGAATGTTCCTGTAAAGTGCCCTGAGACAACTTTGTTGTGATTTGGCCCTATATAAATAAACTGAATTGAATTTAATAAGTTGCAGGACTTGCAAATTTATGTAAAAATGTGCGACTTATTTGGCAAAAAATATGGTACTCATAAAGCTAACGTATTATGTACCAGTAGAGTTGCTGCAGTTCATAAAATACAGACTGTGATTTCTCTGATCAGTCTAATTGTTAGATTTGATTTGAAACTCGTGAAAATTTCATTGATAACATATACACAAAACATTTTAATCCTGACTTAAAATACATTAAGCCACAAAAACCAAGGGCCTCTTTTGCCTGGGGAACTGGCTACCTAGAACATGTGACACTGTAGGATCTGAGTCTCAGTTAGATTTGATTTGAAAGTACAATAATTTCATTACACAGTTAGCTATGGATAGATACATCTGATTCTTGAATTTGACTAAAATCTATCGTTTTACTTGATGTGATCATTTTCTTTTTGCTGAAAACTTTTATTGTGTTGCACAGACTCAGAGTAAAGCTTATGTCAATAAAATAAGCTATAAGCAAAAACACAAACAAACTATGTTTATGTGATAAAATACAGTTATTAATCTTAGTTAAACAACAACAAAAAAAAAGTTACAAAAGCAGAATAGCACACCAATTTTTTGTTTATCTCCTGACGTTTTAACATCACCAACTCCAAAATTTTCAATGATAATGCAGCGAAGCAACTCTAGAAATCATTGCAGCTAAAAGAACAATTACTCTACCACGTCCTGTAGACAATTTCCACCTGCTGAATTAACACCAGTCTAGTGTGCACTTTCTTTTTTCACAATTTTCTATTTGTGTCTGTAGCTTGAAGGTTTGAAGACGTACTCAGAAGTGTAAAATGTCCTTCCTCCAATGACTTGAAACTGTGCTGGTCATTGGTGAAGAAGACAAAGCTCCACTGAAACCATGAAAAATATCAAATTAATGGAAAATAAGCAGCTATACTAAAATAACCCTCTTCTTTCATCGTCACTTCATTGTTTGTGTGGTTCCTTTTGTTGCTCTTTTTTTGGGGCTCAGGACACAAAGACCAGAGTTTTACACAGATGCTATTAAATATTGTTGAAATAAATCTACATTTCACTAATCCAAAAAAGTTCAATCTGGTCCTCTGGACATTAAAAAAAAAAA